TTGGGGCTGTTTCTAGTCTTTATGATATAATTACATACGGGAAATAGGAATTTTCTATTGCAGAATGACAAATAAAATAATTATTTTGTGTGTTATTTAAAAGTCTTTCCCTCCTGCTTCCTTTACTTACGAGTTAAAAAGATGTTGATTTCTCTATCCAGTCACTGATGATAGAAATTAGAAATTAGGGTTAATAATTTTACTATCCTATTTTCTTCTTTCTCCTAAGCTCTGGTGAAAAAATTCCATGTCCTCCTTCTCTAAATGTCTCTTGGGGATAGAGTACACAGTATTATAGGATAATGAGGGATTTAGCAAGGATACAGAGATGATTAGTAGAGACATAATGATGGGACTACATTATAAGAGCTACAAGTCATTTTATATTTTTAAATATAGCATTTAAGAATGGGGTTATCCTCATAATTCTTACTTCATCACTCATTTATTATACCTATTTGTTACAGAGTACTATATAGTATACCTTAAGATATAAATAAAAGGTTTCATAACAAAAGAGAATGGGATGCTAAGAGGCATGGAAGGATGAAGGGCTTATCTCAATAGTCATGTAGCCTAGCGACAGTAATAACAACACTGAGTACGTGCACAGTGGGAAAGCCGGAAGACGGAAAACCAGAAAAAGAGAAAACAGTGATAGAAACTAACACTGGCATGATAAAAGAAAAGAGTAATTCCTATATTTCTGTAAAAGAGTAGTTGAATTTGAATGTGAATCTCTTAATCTACTCTAGAGTAATGGTTTACTAAGATTCAAGCTGTGGTTCTAGTTATTATTATTATTCCATTGTCGTTTATAACGTTCAGCGTCACAATGAGCCAGCTTTTTAATGCCACTTGAAATGCTGATTATTCTATTTACTGAATAATTTATTGTGCCTAAAATTATACTCTAAATTAGACTGTTAATCATATAACCGTTACTATATTCCTATGTATGCAGCATGTAAGGTATCAAAAAAGACCCACTAGGAATGGTAAGCAGACAATGACGATGTCAGCGTACCTTTGGAAGATAATCACAGCCCAGTAGGATGGCTAGTCCAACCAGAGCATCTCTGTCCAGACCTAGGTTACTTCTGATAGATGATATTGTGTAACAGTCAACGTGTGGGTCCTAGAAGAAGGTTTAGACTCAGTTTAATCTTCAAAAAGTAAATATTTATACATTAAACAACATTACACAAAATAATTTGTCAAAGTCATCGCTAAATGTTTAATTATCCCTAAAAGTTTAATTAGGAAAATTATCCTGATCACCAGAATCTTCATAGACTCTAACACTTCAATATCTGGAAATAAAGTCATAGTTTTAAAAACATGGCTTAAAAATATAGCATTCAATGATTTCCTCTTTATTGTTTTCTTGGTATCTACAAAAGTAGATTTTCATCATGCAAAATGCAATACTATAAAATGCATTTATTACTGAAAGCAAATATTCCCTGTAATTATATCATCTAAAGTTTGCTGTTATTAACAGTGTGGTGCACATTCTTCCAAAAAACATTTTCTTTGACACACATATACGAATCTTTAGTACTAACTATATATTTTTTAATTAGATTTATTGGGGTGACAACGGTTAGTAAAATTACATAGGTTTCAGGTGTACAATTCTGTAATACATCATCATATATCACATTGCGTGTTCACCACCCAGTCAGCTCTCCTTCCATCACCATATATTTGAGCCTCTTTACCCTGTTCTACCATCTCCCCTCCCCACTTACCCTCTAGTGCCCACTAAACTGTTGTCTGTGTCTATGAATTTTTGTTTCATTTGTTTGTCTTGTTTATTTTATTTTTAAGTTCGATTATATAAAAGTACTATTTTGCAACATTCCTTGCCCACTAACATATCTGGATATCTTCAATGTTAATAACACATACTTTTTA